ATTATTCCAGTTAGGGTTATTTTTACTACTTTACTGTTTTAACCTTCAGACTGAGTAAACATTTTTCAGACTAGCTTTATAAGTGATTAATCCAGTACTTTTATTTTGTATTAATATTTACTAATGAGATTTTTATTTTCCTGTGTTTTCTTGTTGATTCGTGCCCTTTGTTTTCAACTTGAAGTCCTTTTCACATTCCTTTAAAGACCAGTTGAGTGGTGATAAACTCTTATTTTTTGTTTGTTTGGGAAACTTTTTACTCTCCTTTAATTCTGAATGATAACTATGCCACGTAAAATATTCTTGGCTAGAAGTTTTTCTTTCAGCACTTTGAATATATTGAGCCACTGTCTTCTGGCCTGCAAAGTTTCTGCTGAAAAACTAAAATTTTTTTTTTTAAGTTATCTACAATTTTATTTTAATATAATCTAAACACATACCATTTAGAAAATACCAAGAAAAATTTAAGTACAAGAGTTGCTGCTGTTGCATTTGGATAAAGCTGGCAAGTTCTTGCTACTAGCATAGCCCAGGAAACACCACCGAGGAAACCTAATATATTGGAATAGATGTTGTGGCGTTTGGCCCACAGTTTTATAGCTCTCAGAGTTAACCTGAAGTTGTCAATGTTTGGTACAAGATGTAAAATTTCATTGGTTACCCTGCAACCGTTAAGACTTCTTATGCATCTTAGATCTAAATTCTTTTTTTTATTTTATTATGTTATGTTAATCACCATACATTACATCATTAGTTTTTGATGTAGTGTTCCATGGTTCATTGTTTGCGTATAACACCCAGTGCTTATATCTAAATTTGTAAGCAGACTGTCATCTCGTAAGTCCAAGTCTTCTGGAATAGTCTGCAGTGCTAGTCTTGCAAACAAAATATCAATCTCCATCTTATCAAAACACAGTTTGACAACTGGTACAAATGCCTCTTCAACAGCTCTTAAATCTTTCACTTCTTCCTGTAATTTCAGCTTACCATAGAATGAGGTGAAAAAGTCATGTCGATCAAAATGTCTTGGTGCAACACATAGTATGTACTTCTAATCTGTAAGATCCAAATGTAAAAATTTTTCCTCCAACATTTTCAATTACAGATTGTGGAAGATTCTTGCTTACACTGATTTCTCGCATCCACTCTTTTACCAGGTTATTTAATTTTCCCAAAATTAAAATCCTGCGCTGCACTTCCTCTTCCTCTTCAAAAACTCCAAAGGGCTTCAGAGTCTCAATTAGTGTCTGCGTAAGCAGGCAGTCTCCTTGGGGGCTGCTAAGCTGATAGGAGAGGTTAATGCCATAGTGCTTCTGGCATGGCTGTGTTTGTTGTGATCCCTGCGTTGCGTTGTAACTGGAAACAGCACAGTCTCCTGCGCAGGCACCGCCCAGTCACACCCCCCCACATCCCCCCAACTCCACTGCCCTGGACACCCACTGAGGCAGGAGGGAGGTGGGATCCCAGGACCCTGGGATCATGACCTGAGCCGAAGGCAGGCACCCCTCTGTCTTGGTTTCTATGTATCAGATGAAACATCTGCCTCTCCCAGGATTGAAGGAAGGGCCTCACGTAGGCACTGAACCTTATTGTTCAACCCTACCCTAGCTTTTGGTTGTCTCTCAAACATTTGTGATAGTCCATGCAGCCAGTTTTATTTTTAAAAGCTTGCAGTAGTTGAGTGTGCCAAGACTGGTCAGTGTACTAGAGGGCAATATCTGAGTCAGTATGTAGATTTAGGCTGAGTGGAAGCCAGACCTTCAGGCAGCAGCTTTTAACTTATATATCCAGTCCACTAGGACCACAATCAGAAGCCCCCTGGCCTCCAGGGCCTGGTGATCAAGTGGCACCCCCTACATAGCTGCAGAAACCAGGGTATGACATAAAATCCAGGGCAACAGACTTGTGTAAAAGTTCCCTTCCGGGAGATATTGGCACTCTGGAGTCAGACAGGAAAAGCATGAAGATGACACCTGCTGGGTGGAGTGAGGCGGGGGATGGGGGATGGGACTCTAAAGATAGCACCTGTTAGAGGTTCAGGGTAGGCCTAGAGTTTTACTTTTTATTTAATTTTTTAAAAAGATTTTATTATTATTTAATAGCGAGAGATCACAAGCAAGAGGGGGAGACAGGGACCGCTGAGCAGGGACCTTATGCAGGACTTGAACCCAGGACCCTGGGATCATGACCTGAGCCAAAGGCTGCTGCTTAACTGACTAAGCCACCCAGGCGCCCAGGCCTAAAGTTTTAAATGAAGATAGTGCCTGCCAGCCTCAGTTCCCTGGAATAGTATCACAGTAAAGTCCCTAGATACGTGGTAAGTTAGATGCCTGCCCCTTAGGCCTACACTTTATGTGAAAGAAGTTCATTTACTTATATTAATAACTCTGGGTACTATTGGCTGCCTCTTTGCTGGGCCCTGGAGCAAGTTAGTCCACACAATAGCCATTTTTTTCTTCCATTATAGCTTTGTGGGTCTCAATAGACATGAGCCCTATTGGCTTTCAAAGCTAGATGTTTTGGGAACTCCTCTCTCAAGAGCAGGTCTTAAAAGCTGAGGTGCCCAGTGTAGGGTTCAAACCTGTCGTACCTCAGGGAGCAGCTCTGGGTTACTTACTTACCTGAAAGCTGCTCACTTACCTAAAATTACTCTGCTTATGAGCTCTTGGTATTTTTTGATACTTTGCTCTTAAGCTTGATGAATCTGGTTCAGTCCCTTCCCTATGTCCAGAAAATTCTGTTGAATTGTATGAATCCTACACATTATTTAAGGGAAAGTGAAAATAATTCTTTAAGATAGTGAAATTATGTGTATTATCACTGGGTGGCTTTAAATAAGAGAATTTAATTGGTCAGGGTCCCAGAATCGAGTAATTCAAGATGGTTTATGTAGAAAGGGACCATTTCCAAAGGACTGGGTGTGAGGGAATCAGAGACAGTTCATGACTTTGGTGCTAGTAGCAGCTAAGCTGATTACCAGAACCTAGAAGGCAAAAGTTGTGTTAAAGGTAACTTTGAGGGGAGCAATGACCTTTGGTAGAGGGACAGAGTCAGCCTCAGGTCAAAACAGGGAATGAGGCGGTGCAATAAATATCCTACTTCATTCTCTTTCCTCCCTTTAATCTGCCAGTGAACCCTCTTGACTGAAGTTGGAGGACCCCAGGAACCCACTGATAAGGTTCATACCAGTTTAGTTTGCCAGGGCAGAGAGTCAGGGTAGAAAAAGGCATTAAGTGGGTATAGAGTGGCAAAAGAAAATATCCGGTATTAGAATGATGCAGGCTGGGCAGCCTTACTGGGATTGGTCCTAGAGCATCTCCAGCCTGGAATAACACACCTAGTAAGTGTCCAGGATAAGAGACCAATAACTGGACTATTAATTTTTTTTTTAATGTGTAGCACAGACCTTTTTTCATTAGTTGTGTATTTAAAATTTTAATCATGAGTGAAAGAAAACCTTTTGTAAAACTGTTCAACTGGTTTCATAGCTGTTACAGCTAAACACCTCTCTAAACATGTAAGAAGGAAATTTCAGAAGTCTTTGAGTAAACTTTTCCAATGCTGTATGTGATTCAGCAATGGTCTGCAGGCAGAAATGGTATTGAGTCATATGATCTAAAAGTACAAAAAACACAACATGACTTTTCATTAACAACATTTCCCTAAAATTTGGTTCCTAGGAGGGAGATAGAAGACATTTTCCTAGCACTTCAGACAACAGAAGGACATTTTCCAGATTCTGTATGTTTATGTACTTTAATTTCAAACCAAGTTATGAAAATATTTACCATCTCAAGAGATTTTTTTGGTTTTGATGAAAAATTTGTCAGTTACCATTGAAACAAAATTTTAGACTTTTGCTGAGAAATACTCTTAGATATACAAGATGATATTATATATGGCTTTTGTATATTCTAAATGAAAACTAGGATAGTCCTGTGAAAAGTTTCTTTTAAAAAATAGTCATACGTGAATGCTAAGAATGAATCATCTGGGGGCATCTGGATGGCTCAGTCGGTTAAGTGTCTGACTCTTGATCTCAGCTAAAGTCTCAGGGTTGTGAGTTCAAGCCCCACATTGGGCTTCATGCTGGACATGGAGCCTACTTAAAGAAAACTGAACCATCTGAAGTGTGTGGCATGGATGACCTGGGCATCTTGCTGAGTATAAGCTGGGCATGGGGTCAGGGAGGAGTGCACAGAAACACAAATATCCTATAGCTCTACTTGTGTGAGGAATCTAGGGTGGGGTGGACAAATTCATAGAGATGGAAAGTAGAGAGGTTGCTGGGGGATGGAAGGGAGGGTGGAATGTGGAGTTACTGCTTAGTGGATGCAGGCTTTCTATTTGGGGTAAGTCAAAGGGTCTGAAATTGTGGAGCACTGTGGGTTTGCTTGGTACAATGAATGGTTTAATCTAAGATTTAGAACCCTTGTGGACTATTGGTAGTGTAAAATACTGTAGTCACTATAGAAAACATACAGCATTTCCTCAAAAAATTCAAAATGTAATTACTCTGTGACCCATCAATACCCGTTCTGGGTACATACCTGAAAAGTGAAAAGTAAGAAGAGATACTTGGACACCAGTGTTCATAGGAACATTAGTCACGATAACTAAAAGGTAGAAGCAGTCCAAATGCCCCTTGGCAGATGAATGGATAAACAAAGTATGGTATACACCTATAATGGCATATATTACTCAGCCTTAAAAAGGGAGGAATTATGACACATGCTATATACAAATAAATGGTTGAACTTCGAGGACATTATGCTAATATGAAACAAGCCTGTCATAGACAAATACTGTATGATTCCACTTATATGAGGTACTTAGAATGGTCAAAATCATAGAAACAGAAAGTAGAATGGTGGTTGCTAGAAGCTGGTAGGGAGAATGGAAAGTTGTTTAATGGGTATAGAATTTGTTTGGAAAAAAATAGTTAATAAATTCTGTGTTTTACAACAATTAAAAATTAATCCTCTGAAATTCTTCTTTAGATGACTTAAATACAGAAACATTCACCAATGCAGAATCATGCTGTGGAACAGTAATAGAGAGGGAAATTCTAAATTGTTCATCTCCTGAGATTCCTGCAGAATTTAATGAACAGTTTAACACTAAGAAAGACAAAGAGGAACTTACAATAAATCAGGTTAAAGGAGTCAACTTAGAAAAAGAAAACAGTTGGCATAATGATCAGTGTAATGAGTTTGGAAGGACAGAGAAAACACCTATGAAGAAATGTCCTAAAAGGCCTGATTGGAATATAAATAAACCACTCAAAAGGTATATTCCAGCATCAGAAAAGTACCCTAAACAGCTTCAAAAGCAGAGAGAAGAAAAAAAAGTAAGAAGGCAGATGGAACTGCTTAATTTGGTAGAAAGAAATAATCCTGGACATCTCTCTCAAAATAGAGGCACTTCACCAGTTCTTCCTTCATCTCAAGAAACAGAGTCAAGGTTCAGGTGGCATCTAATCAAAAAGGTAAAACTTTACTGTCTTAAAAATATTTTAAAGTATGTATTGGTGTTTCTAGATTGAAAACAGTTACCCACATGGTTATTTTGACAAGGCTGTTCAAGAGTTTAAGAAATAGGCTTTAGTTTATACCGAGGTTGTCAAACGATGGCCTGTGGGCAAATCCATCATGCTGCTGCTTTTGTAAATCAAGTTTTATAGGAACACAGCCATGCTCATTCTTTTATGAATTGTCTGTGTCTGGTTTAGAGTAGCTGGAAGAGACCACCACATGGCCCACAAAGGCAAAAGTGTTTACTCTCTGGTCCTGTATAGAAACACTTGACACTTATACCCTATATAGATTAATGTTATTCATTGTTCAAATAGCCATTCAAAACTCTTGTTTGTAGACAGAGGATAATTTTGTAAGGTCAGGAATTACTGCACTGGTTCCGTGACTGGAACAATACAAAATCTCATTCTCCGGTTTTCAAAAATATTTGTGGAGACATATGGCAGTACTGTTACTCCTGTCTGCATTTACCTACCCTTTAGGAAGAAGAGCCTCTGAAAATTAATTCTTTCGGCAAGGAAAGGTACGTTATGGATTGGATTGATTCCATAGCTACTTAGTGCTGTGTGGGACAAAGGAAGTACAAATATTTGCTCAGAATATAGGTAAGATCAAAGCACATATATATATATATTTGAAGTCAGTAACAGGAAAGTGTAGGGACTTAGAGGTGGGAAGTAGAGGTTTAAGGGAAATGTGGCTGACATTCTACCTGAAATTTGAAGGCCCAGTTTGGACTGGGCCTAAGCATGTAGGTAGGAATGTACGTGAGTTATTGTCTGCAAACTTAGCTAAAGTAGTTTTGACTTGGGGCACCTGGCTGGCTCAGTCAGTTAAGTGACTGACTCTTGGTTTCATGAGGTCATGGTCATATTGGGGTCATGGGATTGAGCCCCACGTCAGGCTCTGTGCTTAGCGCCGAGTCTGCTTGGGACTCTCTCCCCCAAATAAATCTTTAAAAGAAAATAAAACAGTTTTGACTTTCCAGTGATGTCAGCAGTGGATTAGCCCTTCTGCTTTGATTGAGGAGGTTATGAAGAAATGACTAGTAGGGATACTAGTTCATTTAACCAGGAGATTTAGATGGTTAGGAATTTTATTCTGTGCCTTTGTGCATGAACCAGGTGGTTTAGAGTTGTGTCAGAATGTGGCTCTAACAAGAAGTTTGGTTCGCATGGTAAGTAGATTATTGTGAATTATCTAAGGAGAAGAAACATTGGGCTTAAACCAGCCCAGCTAGTGTTGATCCTCACTTTTCCTCTATACTATATATATCCTTGCCAAGTAAAGTCATCCTGTTGCCATTTTAGGAAAAGCGTCATAGAACTCACTTCTATTCCTAGTGTTCCTAAAGGTGTTACATTGTAGACTAAATTGAAATGTGATTAAAGAAT